ATAGAGCCAAAGATGTTAGAATTGTGTCAATGTCCCAATATTTCTGGACCTGACTGTATATTATGCACTATAATCCATCTTGTTCATCCAGATTCCTGAATTTTGCTTTGCCTCTTGTCTATACTTTATGCCTGCACCTTTGAAACTTTGGTATTAACTGTTCTTGATCCTGGATTAGATTTGGACAAAACTTGCCCCCCTTTCACTATAAATGTCTTTCGAATCCCTGACCTTGGTTAGACAGACTATGCTCTTTAGTGGCAGATCCTAGATTCATTCTGTTTTAAAAGTGCTGCCGTTGGGGAACAATGCCAGAGTAAGTTTCACTTGTAGAACTTTAGGGATGAGATGTGGGTCTGTGACCCTTTTCCCCCTCCCATTTAATCACTGTACTCACCTTTAGTGAGTTTATAAAGTAACCATGTGTCAACTGTTCCAAAACAGCAATCACCATCTTTAGCAGCTTGTTCTACCTGTAAATGAACACACAGATCACATTTTATTGCAGGAAGGCCTGTTTTTTAAATTATTAATTTAATTTAATTTAATTTAATTTAATTTAATTTAATTTAATTTAATTTAAATTTCTATAGCTGCCCATCTCAACCAAGTAACTGGGTGGTGAACAATCATAAAAATATTTAAAACAAGTACAATACAACACAAATAAATACATCTGGCAGCCAAGAAAAATTATCCTATAATTATCGATATAGCCAAGAAACAACATGAATTCATTCACAGGCAAAAACCAGTAAGCAATACACATAATATTTATAATTAAAGTTTCACATAATATTTATAATTAAAGTTTCAAGGAAAACAATCTGAAGCACAATACAAAGTTTATAGTTTCAAATGTATTAACATACAGTATACCCTCTCTTCCAAATCAAGTTACACATCTAAGTACAGATCAGAATCTAATTTATAGTTTTTATGAAACCTGATTGCAGTTAGATAATGTTAATATATATACATTGGTTGACTATTTTGCTTTCACAGGCAGCACTCTTTTAACTTAGCTTGAGGTTTGAACCTCAATTTGTCTTCACCCATGACTCTCTTTATCAACTGATAGATGTACCACCCTCAATGCCATGCTCATGGATGCACATCCATCATCTTAAATATATAAAGGTCTCCCACTCCCACCTACTTCATACAGTGGTTACGCCACACAATGCTAATCTTTACCCACCAACCATCTCTTATTTCCACCAAAATGCTTCTGGATTTCATGTGGGATCAGACAAATTCTGAAAAATGAAGAAAGAAACAGGCTGGACTTTTGATAGCTACTAACTAGAACTGCTGGATGAGAAGAACACATTACCACTGATGCAATCTGAGACAGAGGAGAGAAGAGGAGGATACAAAAAGAGTAAACTGGCTAAGACAAGGGATGTGTACGTTCACACAGCATGCATTTGGATGATGCTCCTGAGAGGAAGGAAGGGAACCGTGCTTAGCCTTCTGCAAAATGAGTATTTTGTCACCAGCCACATTCTGTGAAAGCTATCAATGCCCACAGCACTTTGTTGTTGTTGTTTCTCATAAAATAATTGAGATTTCTTGTATTGGTCTATGTTAAAAATTGTACCACTACATTGGAAACTATTTTTCCTATACTCCCATATAAAATGGCCATCAGATAATAACAGTTTCTGTTTTTAGTTTTTCTGTGCTTTCAACTTAGTATTTGACTCCTGGCAACTGCCTGGACAAGTCCTTGCAGTTTTCTCGGCAAGGTTTTTCAAAAGTGGTTTGCCATTGCCTTGCTCTTCCTAGGGCTGAGAGGGAGTGACTGGCCCAAGGTCACCCAGCTGACTTTGTACCTAAGGCAGGATTAGAACCCCAGTTTCTAGTCTGATGTTTTAACCATTACATCAAACTGGCTCTCAATATAACTATGTAGAGCTTGGAAAATAAATTAGTACAAATTGCCAGGATGGAGCATTTTAGATCAATCTTCTCCAATTGCGTGCTAACCAGATATATTGGGCTATAAGCCCCAATCAGTCTAGGCTCACATCTCGAGAACAGTATATTGGAAAAGATTAGAACAGATACTAAGTTCATATTCAATTGGCAACTCGGTAGAACAAATAAACTAATACTTAGATACTATTGCCAGTAACCGGCAACCACTGAGGCAACATGAAATCCCTCATAGAGAATTTTAACACGAGTCTTACCTCAGACAGATGCTGTAAAACCCAAGCCAGTCTTAAAGAGACATGCTGGGTTGTAAAACTAAAAGAACGGCTTAGCAGTAGTTTATCAATCCGAGTGAAAAAATGCAGCAATGAAGAAATACCATGGACTGCCTGTTCCAAAACAAGATTGGTGGGATAAATATTTGAGCTTCTGTCCTACTAGATTTAAGTCAAGTTTATTAGGACTATACACAAGATGAAATACATATTTTGAACTGAACACAGAACAAACCATACATTCTGGAATGTCTGCAAAACTGGCTGCAGTTTAATAGAAACCAAACATGGATTTTTTGGTTGTTCTGCATTTTAGCAAAAACAAAATCCAGGGGATCCCCTCTCCCCTTGCCTGGCCTATGCACTGATCTATCCAGTTCTCCATCTTCCCAGTGCTCCCCATTCTCTCACTCTACCAGCCAACGATAATGTATAGGCCCGTGCACCTGCCCTTCTACTGCAGTGGCCTCAGCAGTACAAAACAGCACCTCTACTTGGCCTACCTGCTCCCAATCTTCCTGCCCCTTCTCTTTCCACCCTTCCTTCAGCTGCCACTGATATGCTGGATGTGTATCTGCCCCTTACAGCAGTGGTCTCAGCAATAAGAAGCAGGTCTTATTGGCATGTCCCACCAGCATGCCCATTCCCAGCCTTTCCAGACATTTTTCTGCTGAGCAGGACTAGATCATAGTGTAACTGTTATAGGTCTTCACGTGCAGGGGAAGAAGAGAGAACAAAGAAAGGCAAGAATCTATTTCACTTCTGACTGCTTGCAAGGAAATCCACTTTGAATACTGCTTATATTATAAACTTCCTGCATACAGAAATCCAGCAGAGAGAAAAAAACCCTATATCCCAGATATTTGCCAGATGTGCTGGTTTTCCACATGCAGGTAATTTTTAACAAATGTCAATTCAAAATTAAAAATGATAATCTACTATAGTATTAAAACAGCCTTTCTCTCCATTCTCCTGCACATAGAAAACAGACTTGAGTCTCTAAGAAACAGTCACATTTAACTTTTTCATTGCAGAAGTCAAAATTCATCTGTACCCCTTCACTAATACCAACATTTTCATTCAGGCAGTTGTGACTAAGCTTATCTTACCAAACCTGCATTGTTCTAAATCTAGTCCTAAAAACCAAGCTATATAATATGCAGGGAGATTCATGGCTATTTCCCTCTCCTAGCCTTCTAGTTTATAAAATGCAGCTGTGGGAAGAGAGCACCTTTCTTGCCATTTAGATGAGGAGGACAGAAAGAAAGATTTAAACATCCTCACCTAAGACACTGTTTCCCTCATAAAAATACAGGTAGGGCAGCTCTACCCGCAGCTGCAAGTCATCACAGATCTCCCAAGCCACTGGCTTCAAGAAGCAATTATCAGTCAGAACCAATATACCAGCCTTCTCTAAAGTAAGGGTATATATATTTGCACACATGCAAAGTTCCAACCTCCCTCCAACTTATTTTTCAATGCAAAGAAGTATCTCACCTTCATTAAAAAAGATGTGTTCCAGGATTTAACAAGGGCAGCAGCTCTCACATCTTGCCAACTTATGAAATTATGAAAAGGTTTCCCTGTTTTTCTGAAAAAGCAAAAAGGGATAATTAACTTTCCAATTACTATACTAATGCCTATGTTATAGTGATGCAATTATTAACAATAACAGAATCAAATAAATGTGAAAGTGGAAGAGATCTCAAGGATCACCTAGTCCAATCCTTTGCAATATACAAAAAAGCCCATAAACAAGTAAATCATCTTCAAGAGGTGGTTGTCCGGACACTTCTTAAAAACCTCTGTGGGTTGACTGTTTATGGTTAAAAAGATCTTACCATCAGGAAATTTTTCTTTATATTTAAGTGAAATCTAGGTGGCTGCAACTTGGGACCTTGTTCCTTTTTTGACCACCAAAAAGTTTTTCCCCATCAGTGAGTTTTGCGCACCAATCAATTAGGTCTGCTTTAGACTGTCTTGTGCTTTTCTTTCTGTCAAATGGAGTAGGATTAGGGTTACTGACCAATGGTTGACAGTTATCTCTGCAAATGTATGTCCCCATGCTGTAATCATTATAAGGATATTGTACCAATCTCATATCTGCAGTAGGCAAAAACTTTTTGACCAGGAGATTTTAACACTAGTGGCAGGCAAAAAAAAATGAATATGAGTTCCAACTTGTACCCACTACTTTTTGTCCTTATTTCTGTGACAGTTCATGACTATCATTCCAATGGCACTCTTTTGTGTACCTGAGTATTGATACTATCTCTACCTTCAATCTTCTGTTCTCCAGATTCATCATCCCAAGTTCCATCAGCCTGTCCTCAAGACCCTATTACATGTTTTGCCCTCACTCAATCTGTTCTAATCAATATCCTTCTGGAAATGTGGTGCCCAGAATCATTCACAGAGCCCCAGAGTGTGGTCTCCACAGTGCAGTGTTGAGAGTGTTTCTTCTAATGCTTCCCAGAATTGTTAGCCCTTTTAACAGCAGTCTCACATTGTTGTCTCATGTTCGGCTCACTGTCAATGACCATACCCAAGTCCTTCCCCAATGCAGTGCTTCTAAGCCCCCTTCTTCTATAGTGCCCTATATTTTTCCTCTCCAAATGTAGTACTTTACATTTCTCCCTGTTGAAGGACATCTTGTTCCTCTCAGCCCAGTTTTCCAACCTGTTCACTTTAGATTAGTTTCATCATATCCTGGTTATTGGCCAGATTTCCTTAATGTGTGTCATCTGCAAACAGGATAAGCAACCCATCAATTTCAAATTGTTGACTAATATTGGGCCAAGACAGAGGCCTCTGGAACTATTGGTTGCTTCTCTCCCACTCACTATGGAGCTATTAAGGCTATGGAGTGTGGTTAGCTAGTCAATTATGGACCCAATTTTTTGCACTCTTAACATCTTCCAGATATTGATGTTAGGCTCACTGGTCAATTATTATGGGGATTTTTTTTCCTTTTCTTAAAGAGGGATACTGCATTTGCTCTTCTCCAGTTCTCACGCATTTCTTTTCTCCAGGACTCCACAAAGATAACTGACATAAGTCCTAATAGCTCTTCAGCTAGGTCCTTCAGTATTTTAAGTGTATTTCCTTAATGCCTGGGGACTTCAAGAGATTCAAATTAGTTGGGAAGTGTTGGGCTTTAGTGACTGTTGTCTAGACAACAGATCTCCTGAAGTTCCTGATATGAAAGCCTAACCAGTAGATTCAAATTACTTGGCCTGTACCTCCACTGTTGTGTTTGTTCCTAATCTATGTTACTTAAATCATCATTTCCTTTGGATAGAAAAATAGAGCCAAAAAAATTGAGTTCTCATGCTTTCTCTTAATTATGTTAAGATTTCTCAGTTTGGAGTAAGCAATATGTTCACACCTTCTCTTGCTGCTGACATATATGAAGAAATCCTTCTTATTGGATTTTGCCTCCCTAAATAGCTTTAGCTTTCCACCTTTGCCTTCCTGACCTTATACCTCATTTCTGAGCTAAAGATGGACAGACTTCTTTGGATGTTAATCCTTTTTTCCATTTCGAATAAGCAAACTTCTTTAATCTCAGCTCGTTTGTGAACTGCCTATTCAGCCACATTGGCTCCTTTTGATATTTCTTAGTTTTCTTCCTCATTAACATTATTTGAGACTACACTATCCTTAATTTTCTTTCCAAAAAAACTCAGCTAGCTACAAAATCTTTGTCTTTAAGATTTTGTTCCTATGGCATCTTCTTTACTATTTCATTAAAATTAGTCTAAAATTCATAGTTTGTGTTTGTTTTTAACCAAATTTTTGTTAAGATCAACTCTAGGAATACATGGTCTGTTCAACTCAATGTTTTTATTTCTTTAATATTTTCAATCAATGACTTCCTGTTAGTAAGAACCAAATCTAAGGTAGCAAATCCCCTAGTGTCCATTTAAACTTTTTGAAAGAGATAATTATCACCAACACAAATCAAAAATTTATTGGACATCTTGTGTTTGGTAGAATTAATTTTCCAACAGATGTCTAGGTAGTTGAAATCACCAATCAAACCATGCTTTTCTGAGGCTTCAGTTACCTGTTTCAATAAATCCTCTACCTCTTCTATGGTCTATATCAGATTCCTAGCAAAATATCAATTCTTGCCCTTTATTCTAGCCTAGATCTTTTTATCTTGCCCTTTTATCCCTTGCCTAGATCCTTTCATTCCTGATATGTAACACTATACAACCTCTTGTCTTGTGTTTCCTGTTTCTCTGAAACCAGCTGTATTCATTGAGCCCAATATTTATCCCACATGTTCCTGTTAATCCTTACTTGCCCTTCTGCCTCATAACATCCAGTTCATCTTGTTTGTTACCCATACTTTGTGCACTGATGTAGAGACATTTATTGTAATGGGCTAGATTCCCTGTGCTCCCCTTTTCCTTTATTACTTGGTTAAACATTTTGTTTTGCTTCTACATTCAATTCATTATGCACCAATATTTTATGACTCTTGGCCCCTTGTATGCTAGTTTAAAGCCCTCTTGACTAGGATTAGCCAGCTCTTGCCCACAGATGTACTTTTCCTCTTCAGAGAGATGAATTCTATCTTTGCAAAGCAGCCCCCCCCCCGAAGTTTTTACCACTGTTAAAAAAAACCCCAAACCTCTTTTGCTTGCACCCATGTTGGAACCAGGACTTTACCTGAAACAATCAAGTTGCAAACTTGGGCAGCTTTGATGCAGGGTTGCAAGGAGAAAGCCACTACTCTCAAAAAAGAACACTGCTGCCCATCTACAGTTTGTAAAAGACCATGTGGATAAACCAGAAGGCTACTGGAAAAATGTTCTTTGGATGGAAATAGAACTTTTTGGCTTGAAGGAAAAGTTATGTTTGGCAAAAGATAAACATTGCATTCTAGTATAAGAACCCTGTCCCATCTGTGAAACATGGTGATGGCAGTATCCTGGTTTGGGCCTGCTTTACTGCCTTTGGACCAGGACAGCTTGCTGTCATTGATTGAACTATGAATTCTGAATTGTACCAGCAAATTCTACAGGAAAATGTCAGGGTATCTGTCCATGAACTGAAGCTCAAGAGAAAGTGGGTCAAGGAGCAAGACAATGATCCAAAACACACAAGTCATATGACCAAAGAATAGTTAAAGCAAAAGAAAGTTAATTTCTGGAATGGCCAAGTCAAAGTCCTGACCGTAATCCTAGAGAAACGTTCTGGAAGGACCAGAAGTGAGTAGTTTGTGCGAGGAAGCCCACCAACATCCCTGAGTTGAAACTATTCTGTAAGGAGGAATGGGCTAAAATTCCTCCAAGCTGAAGTGCAGGACTGATCAACAGTTATCGGAAACGTTTAGTTGCAGTTATTGCTACCCAAGGAGAGCACGCCAGTTACTGAAAGTAAAGATTCACATACTTTGCCATACACAAATATGTAGCTTTGGATCATCTTCCTCAATGAATAAATAGACAAGTATACTTGTTTAATTGGGTTCTCTTTATCTAGTTTTAGGACTTATGTGGAAAACATATCACTTTTAGGTAATGTTTATGCAGAAATATTGAAAATTCAAAAGGGTTCACAAATTTTAAGTACCATTGTATATTCTTATTTCAATTTCTGTTAAAAAATATTTCAAAGCATAATTTTTCAAACAATTGTTGAAATAACTGCAGGGAATTCTGGGTCAAAAGCAAAGCTGTTCTTAAGTTCTAGGACAAGAAGACTTAAAACATAAACCAACTAACTCATGATACATCTACTATTGGATTATATCTCTTCATACGACAAATTGGGGAAAGTTACAGCCAACTATTTTAACACAAATTTCTCCCTAACTCAAGGTGCAGGTAAGGCCATTGTTGCACTTAGATATTTCACAAGTAGCTGTTCATGTTCATTGTAGTAAATTAATTTGAAGATTAATACAGGGTTTTTTGGTTTTTTTAATCTGCACTCAGTTGTTACCGACTCTGCAGTGACTGCTTTGGACAAGTCCTTGCAGTTTTCAAGGCAAGGTGTTTCTGAAGTGGTTTGCCATTGCTTTCTTCCTAGAGCAGAGCCGAAATATATTTAAAAGCACCACTTAATGTGATTATCTGTATCTACAGGACATGAATTTATAAGAATTAAGCTTAAGTTGTTTACTACTTTTTTCTATTTATTTCTTCATTGTATCTTAACTATGGCAACTTAATACCTTATCTAAAGAACTCAAAACAATTAATCACAACTTAAGTAATAAAAAACTATTTCTCCATAAGTAACTTTCAGCAGAATAACTGGTTTTGCAACTATGAGATTTATTTAGTGGAACAGTTTTAAAAATATACCTGTTGCTACCTTCCCTTCTCCCTATTCAAAAAGCTGAATTGACCAATAATACTTTACTGAGAAATTTTGAAAGAGATTGTTTTCTTCCCCAGCCTACTTCTCAACTTGCAATTTATTGCTGTAATTCTTCCCAGGACATATAGTATTTCTGCAATTTATTCACATATGGAAGGACTCTGACTGGATAATTAAGGTAATTATTGAACTCATTTATTTTTCAAATGTATAGAGCCATCCATCTCACAAACTAGATTCATAACTGAAGAATTAAGAAATCTCAATATTCATATTATTCATACAAATTTATTCCTAAATCTGTGTAATTACATACCCTTTTAATTATACTTTTATAATTTCTTTTATTTCATCAAAAAGTATTTTATGTAAAGACCAGAATTATAATATACAAATCCCCAATTATTTGACAGGATTCATGTAGACTGTGTTCTTTCTGCTCTCCAAGCTGTTAGCATATTAACCAGTTTAATTGTACCAGTGATGAGAATATTTTGGGGAGCCAGTTTCTATTAAAAGACAATGTCCTAGAGAGAACTCTAAGGATAGATCAGTAACCACCCCAGTCACCTGCTGCTGGAGTAAGACTAATATTCAACAGGTTTGTATTGAAAGAGAATAATTTGTTGGAGGGGAAAAGAGACTAAAAAAGCCAGGCTGCTGTTAATATTTTAAAAAGAACAATACTAAGTTTATGTCAATAGGCAATACCAAAGCAATGCAGGTAGGCAGAGAAGAAGATGAAATAGTAACAGATTATCTTCCTTGGCTGAAAACTTCACAGGGATGGTGACTGTGGCTATGAAATAAGAGGTCTGCAACTATAGGCTGATGATATTATGACACAAGCCCCACTCTTGCATGCAGACATCCACAGACACCATCATTTTTCCATTAACAGGGTCAGCTGTGGACACCTAGAGCAGAAATTATGATACGTGTTTGGTCACTTGCCCCCTGCTCCTCTTCCACAGATACATGTGTCTCCTACTTGAGAGAAATATGTCAGAGATCTAGACCAAATATTAAAAGTGCAGAGATATCACACAGACAAAGGCTATGTCTTCCCATTTGTAAAACACAACTCTGAAAGCCGGAACATCAGAAAGGCTGAACAAGGACAAACTGATGCCTTTGAATTATAGTGCTAGTGAAAGCTTTTAGGAATACCATGGACCACCAACAGAGCTAATCATTTAATCCTAGATAAAATAAAACCAGCCTGCTCACTGGAAACAGTATTAATGAAAGTAAATCCTAAGTATTTTGGATACACGATGCAAAGGCAAGAGTTGTTTAAGAAATCTCTGATGTTTGGAAAAACTGAAGGCAATTGAAGAAAAGGCCAACAGCAAACACGGTAGCTAGATACTGTCACTGATAACACAAACACGAGCTTACAAGAATTCAAAAAAGCAGTTGCTGCCAGACAATCCTAGCAAAATGACATCTATTGGATCACAAAGGGGGAGAAGCAACTAAATAATTAAACAACAACAATTTTGTTAGCTGGATGTTTTTTTACATAAAAGTTGTGACCTACCTTTTAAAGTGGCATTTTAAAACTAATTAAACTAATTAAACAATTAGCGAGGCTTTTCAGCTACGTAGGAGCATATTCTACATCCACACATAAACATATAACTAGCACCTGCCCTGCAGGAAACCACTTATTTCAAGTGTTTATTGTAACTGCATTTTGTTGAAAATGCAATTTATAATGATACATATTTGGGTTCCAAACAAAAGCTAAATATATTTCATTAGTATTTTTAATATAAAGGGTGACATCTCTGCAAAGTACTTTGACTGTTCTGTTTCATAAATGACAATTAGCATAACTCTCATGTTTAGTTTTATTAAACAAGTACTTGTGATTAGACAGCCACCAAGCACTATTGCTAACAAATGAACGTTATTTATTTTGGAAAGCATCCATTTACCAACAAACACAGGAGTGAGGTATCAGTTATAACCTTCATACATACTTGTTCCATGTAATGAAAGTTCCACGCTGTGTGGAAAGTCCAAGAGCAGAGATTTGATTCATTTTAATTCCTGCAACTAAAAGATATATTTATTTATTTTAAAATATTTGCATTGCTGCTCATCTTAAAAACAACTCTGGGTGGCTCGCCGCAATAAAACTACAAAAAACATAAAAGCACATAAAAACCCTGCGCCTTGATCAACCTCCCAGGATGCCCCAACAATTGTCTGCAGGCTCCACCACTGTCTACCCCAGTGCCTGGGTAAAGAGCCAGGTTTTAATGGCTTTAATTTAAACAACAGTAACTGAATAATTATGGTGGCGTTGATTTAGTTTAATTATTAATTCACATGCATAAGTGTTTAAATAAATATAAGACATTCCGTTAAAATAAATTTAACTAATAACAATTGTTAATTCAGCTTCTAGAAGGTGATGTGAGTGGAGAGTAGGCTGTTCCATAGGAAAGCAGCTCTCACATGATGTGAGCTCTCTTGTGAAGGCTTTAGCTTTAATCTAGGTATCAAAATAAAATAAATTCAACACAGCAATAATTATGTTTTGAAACACCAAATTACCTTGAACTGCTTCTTTAATCACATCAATGAACTGGGTCCACAGACTTTCAGGGTCAAATTCAACCCAACCTGGCTGAGGATGAAGAAGCTCTACCTGTTAAAGGAAACATAGGTTTGCCAAGATCATCAATGTTACTGATCTTGATGAAGATTCCAAACAAGCAACTTCACATATTAAAACAGAATTGAAGTTCTTCAGTCTATTTCTTACACGCTTATAACTCACATTCTCTATTTTAAAAGTAGGCAAAGACAATCACAGCTCAGCCATTAGAAATCAATATATAATATGCACATACACGGTCACATATGTCGTTGGAACCTTCAGAGTACTGTACATTATAATTGTCCAAATTTTCCATTAAAGCAGATTGTTGCTTATGAGAATCAGAACATGTACATTTCTATGGCATTAAAGGTCACCATAAATCCGCAAACCAACTTTTAATTGGAATTTGGAAAAGACTCTAGCTTTAAAGATACAAAATAAAATAAAAGGAATTCTGTAACATAATACATTAATAATACAAATTCTTAAGGATTGACTATCAGAAAATAAATGCTACTAATATACCTTCAAGATCAAATCAATCCTTTGTCTCCAAAGAACTTGGTAGCAAAGTGCCAAATCTTAACACAAGAGTATAATTATAAAACAATAAATATTATACAAAATTAAGTATATTTAAGAAGTTTGCTTAACTTTTTCTGATTGTTTCTTTTATTAAACATTGTTTTTTAAACCCACTAGGGCAACTCATAGATGAAATCTCATCTTTAATTATTAAATGCAATGCAAATGTTATATAATCATATAACAAAATAAAAGTCTGTGTGATCCAACCTGATTACAAATCTCTTCAGTTCTACGTCAGGGAATGGAGAAATGGAAATTGATCATGCCTCCTTAAAATCTGAATCTGATTCAAGCTTCAGGAGGCTTTGTTCACAGAAAATATATTCAATATCTTCATACTATTTATACATCCATTACCAACTCTAGGAGTCAGGTTAACATGTGGATTGCTTTATCAAAGACATTGAGAGGCACAAAGTATCAGCAATGTAACAATAGTACTTCTGATACCTCAACTTGCATGGAGAACTACAGAGAAGACCTTGGAGCTTAAAAGCATGCCTTAAGCCCAGGAAACATAGAAGGTGTGAGAAAGAAGCTAAGACTGCCTCCACCCCAATTCACCAAGGTATAAGAGGGAGGGAGGGAGGGAAGGGAAAATACAATCAGGCTTCAAGATTTCGTTTTTATAATTGATATCGATAAAGTATAGTTCCAACTCGTGCAGTCTGTTTCCTGACCCTGCCTACCTTAAAAGGATGACAACTGGCCATTTCATTTGGATATTAAAGAATATTGGGAATAAATGTAACCATCAGGGCATGATTATATGAATATATTGTAATGCCGTAAGATTAAGAAGAAACTCTTCAATGCCACCTTCCAGAAATATTGCAGGGAGAAGTTTCATATTTTATGAATTTATGAATTTTTATATGCTCTTGTATTCATTTTTAAATTTTTTTAAAATTGTTGTATTGTTTGGTTGTTTTTACATTTAACTGTTTTAAATTTAACTGTTTCTAAGCTGCCCAGAGTCATATATATGAGATGGCCGGCCGGCCAGCTGGCCGGCCAGCTAGATAGATACATAGATAGATAGATAGACAGACAGACAGAGTCTACATTCATCTCACAGAGTCATTCCAGCAAGAGACATGATTAGTTGTACCAAATGCCACTAGGCAGGCGAGGAGATCCGCCAGGATTTCTTTCTCTAAACACATCAGGCTATTCAAGGTTATTTCAAATAAGACCTTTAGTTCTATTAAAATAGATTCACTTCTTTGTTTCATCTATGAATATCTGGAGTTGAACTACCCCAATCTTCTTAAGCACCTTGGTCAAAAATAAACATTTCTGGCTGGCTGACAGTTGTTGCAGATAATGATCTACTATCCTAACACTAAAAGCATACTGGATTCTATCATACACTGTAGACTCCATTCCCACCTCCTGCTGTGTGGAATGTTTAGGGTCAACAAGTTGCCATATAGCACATTGAAATAAAACATATACTCTGGGTACAATTACAACCTACTCTCATTTACCGATTATAGTGAAAGCGAAAAATGAAACACATTCTACACTGTGATTGCATCCTCTTGCTACAGCAATAATGTACTGTGTAGAAAAGCTACTAAAGTTTCTTTCCTCATTCATACCAAATGAGATAAAGTAGAAACTTACTCACTTGAGCAAATAAAAGACAATTCAGGAACCAAGTTGTTTTGCAGTGTTTAAGGTAACAGTATTGGACTAGGACACCAAGATTTAAGTCCATCCTTAGCCTTGGAAATACACTGGGGACTTTAGACCAATCACACTCTCTGAGCCCAACCTACTTCACAAGGTATTTGTTGTGGGGAAAAACCGGAGGAAGGAATGCTATGCAATCTTAAACTCCTACAAGAAAAGCAGGATATAAAACTAAACAAATACCTACATTTGAACATATGCAGGAAAGAGAAACACTAATAGCGTAACTCTTAAGCTGCAATTCTATACTTAATTCATCAGGAACAAGATCCCACTAGCTTCTGAGAATGTTTACTGTGGTTAACTTATCCAATTTTCTGCATTTTCATGCAGAAAATAGTCAACTAATCCATGGGTGGTTCCCATAATACCCTAAAATACAGTGTGGTCAGCTAGTTTGTGGTTCAACAAGTCATGCAAATGAGCCTCTACATCTTCCATTAGGGATTTCCAATATATACTGGTTAGACATTACATATAAAATGTGGGAGGAAAATTACAACAAACAATTTGCATTAATCTTACATTACTTTATTACTTAAGAATTTAAATGTACCAAGTTGGCAATGTTAATTAGATCAGATGCTTACACTGAAATCTCTTTGAAATTCAATAAAATATGCAAGTTTCACAGGCAGTAGCACTAAATCTTTATATTAGCTTTTTCTTCAAAAGAAGTGGTAACCAAAACCTCATGCATGAACACATACACTTGGCATATGTACTTTGATGCACCAAGAATGACCAAGCTTGAAGGAAAGCTGACCTATAATTACTTGGTGTGGGAAGCATAGCAAAGATGCATAATGGAAAAAGGTAGTTTGCAACTTTAATCCTTCTTTGGGAACAACTACAGCACAAGTAACAATAGCATAGCTACTAAACATATTTTTAAAAATATTGCACAGAATCACTGAATTAATAGTTGGAAGAGACAATGAAGAGTTGTTCCATTAGTTCAGCTCACAGCACAATGCAGGAATCCACTACTACAGCATCTCCACAAGATGGGCATTCAGGCTCTGTTTAAACACTGTAGAGAGTAAGGAAGATTACTTTGAAGGAAATATGCAAGAACTACTATCGAAGCAAAGAGGGCTGAAACATTTTTTAGGCCCAGACAAACAAGACAATATTTAGAAGGGGCTCAGGTAGATGCCTCCCTGATTCACCAGAGTATAAGGAAGGGAAAGAGAAGCGGCACAATCAGATTTGCGAGATTCTTTTATTCTAGATAATCTCAATAAAAATCGTTTGTCTTCTTGTGGAGTTCCTTTCCTGGTCCAGTCTACCTAATGGGGATGACAAAGACTTCTAGTGTATTTATTTATTGGGGCATATAGGTCACTCCAATCCAACAGCACGTTGAACAGCTTAAGTGAAAGAGAAATCACTGCCTCCAGAAAGGCAAATCATTCTCATTGAATAACTCTTACCACTAGAAATATATATTTGGTGTCCAGCCAAAATTTACTTCCTTGTAATTTAAACATTTTCTTGACTTGTTTTCTGGATCAATTCTGCCCCACTTTCCATATAAGAGCATTTCAGATACTGTAAGACAGCTATCATGACTCCCTGTAGTCTTCACCAGGATAAACATACCCACACCTCCAACCAGTCTTTTAAAGTTTTTCTTTATAGGCCCTTTATCACCATGGTTTGGTTTTACAGGTGGTCCTCAGATTACAGCCACTTGTTTAGTGACCATTCAAACTTGCAATGGCACTGAATGAGAGGGATTTACGACCAGTCCTCAGAGTTCTGGCTGTTGTGGCCTCCCCGTGTTCACACAATTATGCTCTGGGTGTTTGGCTTGCAATTACAACATCCCTGCAAGCTGCGGTCACATTATTGCAATTTCCCACGTTCCCTGTTGGCTTCCCACAAGCAAAGTCAATAAGGAAGCCAGCAGGAATCATGCAGTTGCAATCATGTGAGGTCCTCACTTAACGACCCACACAGACCTTGCTTAACAACAGTAACCAGCAATATGACATTGTGCTTTACAACTGTGTCATGTAGCGATGGCAATTCTGGTCCCAATTGCCATTGTAACCCAATGACTACCTGTATTTATTTTATTTATATCCCGCAGTTTATGGAAAGTACAGCAAGAAAATATCCCCATTGCTTGACTCGGGTCAGTTTGTTAATGCCCTTTGTAAACTGCAGTGTTCAGAACTGTATATAATGATCTAGACGCAATCTGATGTAGAATAGAGATAAACAATGATTTATTTTGACCTTCACACTTCTGCCGCTATAACATAGAATTACAGTTGCTTTTTTTAAAGTTGCATCACACTGCTGATTCATATTCAGTTTGTGATTTACCAAAAATCCAAATCCTCTTTTTATCTAGTACTGCCCAACATGATTTCCCCCCATCCTATTCCTATGCCTTTGGTTTTTCTTAGTCAATCTAAGAAAAATCCATTTTGGTCTTCATTTTTTCCCGTGAAATTCACCTTGTTGATTTTTGCCTATTGTTTCAGCTTTTAAAAATCTTCCAGAATCTTAATACATTCCACTATGTTTGTTATCCCTCATCTTTGTGTTGTCTGCTAATTTGATAATCCTATTTTTAGCAGTTTATCCAAGTCATTTAAAAATACATTGAATAGCACAGGGACAATAGCTAGAATTCAGCCCTGTGGTATGCCACTCAACACTTTCTTCCAGCTTGACCTGGGTATGATTTTTCAACAAGCTTTATATGCAGCCAATGGTAACAATCAAAACTGCGTTTTCCCATCCTTCCTATTTGGGTTTCATGGGAGATTTGTACACTATCATTGCACATCCAAGCAAGATAATGCTATTGGTTTCAAAAGTATCAACACCCACATTTTTAAATGATTTAATTCATCTTCAACTTTGAAAATTTTTCAAACTGAGCGTGGATAGTTTCTATTTATGACTGAATAAAACTTAATTCCTATGGTGTGATAATAAGGGCAGGTTAAACAATATGAAAATGTTAAAACAGGATTTCAGCACTACCTGTTGCAGGATACCCATAAGCACTGCAATAGGAGTACCAGCATGATATAGTGTAGTCCAGCGCATTCATCACAGACTCTGCTATTCCCACTCCTGCTATACAGGCAGTTCAGGGTCCAGCAGCTGCCACATAGCATGCCGAAGCAAAATCCAATCCCTGTACAACTTACACAGGTAAATGTACAACCTGTTTTCATTTACTTATATTGCTGAAAAGGGGGAAAAAATAGAGGCGCACATGCTATGTTACAATACCTGCAACACAAAGTTGCAATGTACATTACAGAAAAACTACAAAGCCAAAACTGATCACTAAGTCATAGACCAGGAAAAAACCAAACCAAACCAAGCCACTATTTTTTCCTCATTCATAAGACAGTGAAAAGAGAAACTTACTGCCCTGAGGAAATAAGAGACTGTGAGGAAATCAGCTTGGATTGTGGGAGAAAGAAAATTTAAAAATATACACCAAGGAAAAACTCTAGTGTCTTAATGGTATATACCTTATAGGAAGGAAGGAAGGAAGGAAGGAAGTCCCACTGAATGTAAGCAGTAATCCTCTCCCTACCATTTAGGAATAAGACCTCTTACCGAGTTTGTTTCCAAGTAAACTACTAACGTGGCACAACCATGATTTACTGAATCGGCTCTGGTGGTCAACTGTACCGAATCACCAACCGAACACACGAGCTGAGCGCCCACAACGCTGTGGATTAAAATACGGCTGGGTAGTTAATGATTCAGTGTCTCGTGCGACCACAACTTTTGGGCAGGAGATTGCACTGCACTGAGTTGTAATCTTACGCAACAGCATAAAACAATCCCCAAAGAACTCGGTGAGAAAACATGTCTAAGACGGCGTTAAAGGGCTTCACCATTTCAGGCGTCCGTCCCCGAGGCACGTACAATTCTCACCTGTTTGCTACTGAATCCTTTGAGGACCGCCGCCTTGTCGTACACATGGCACCGTATCACCGTGCTCCCCACGTCTACCCCCAAGATGTACTTCACCTCTGGGGCACAGGCCGTGGCAGCGCCGGCGATGGAGGCGTCGTTGCTCGCTGGCGCGCCAGGATCGATTAGTTTCATCGGCGTCGCGCCCGTCAAAGCCCCAGACAACCAACTTTCCGCGGAATCTAATGCAGGGCCACGCGCAGCGGATCTGGCAGACAGTACTAAACACCCCCCTCGATGGCCCGGCAGCAGCCGCCCTTACTTAAGGGGCAGGCTTATCAGGCGCGGAAAAGGGGGCGGAGGCTGTCCGCAGAAGAGCTAGTAGGGAAATGAAAGAATCGCGCGGGGAGCCGGAGCCAACCAGGGGAAGGAAATAGGAAGGCTGAGCCACTCCCATTCTCAGACTTGACTTCCCAGTAAATTAAATTACTCTAATTTAAACTGCAGAGGCGATTGCGGTCTCGGCCAGTCTTCGTAGGGTGTCTCGGAGAGGCAACTGGGCAGGGTGGCGGCAAGAGCAGAAGGCGGCGAGCAATTTTGCGCAAAGCTGCTTATGTTCGTAGGCAGAGTGATTTAAAAAGTCCAGTTCTGGTCGTAGGCTTTCCGGAGGCCGCCTGCGAGTTTAAAAGAAAGTCAAAACTTATTTTGGTTTTCTAATACGCTTCTGCGTTCTAGGGCCTGGAGCCCAAAACTGGATGGTTTCTTTTTGTTTCCAGAATGATGATGCAACCGCAAAATTCGTTATTAGAGTAAAAAAAAAAAAAAAAAAGGTTGCCGCGAGTCTTGTTCTTCAGCTTCTCCATCCTCCTAGAGTTACGCAAGGGTCAATAAAAACAACACTGCCTTTGTTCACAGATCCGCAGTATAAAAGACCAAAAAAGGGGCGGGAAAGGAAAGACAACCCAATTCTCAAGGTTTCATGTAATTAGCCTCTAACGGCTCTTGGGCGAGGGGGTGCCGGGAATGAAAGGGGAAATGGTTGCACCTACTTTTCTCACTGGGCATGGTTGTGGAGGTAGAAGTGGTGGGGAGAGGAGGGGGGATGGGTCTCCACTCTCCACCTGCTCCTCTTCCATAGGTGGCAGGAACGGTGGGTGCGGAGGTGGAGCATGGCTCCTTGGGGTACAGTTCTCCAATCCCTCCCCCCTTCCCCTTGCTTCAAGTGAGGACAAGCCCTGAGGATGAATAAGGATGGGAAGTTCCCTCAGAACATCTTTAAGGTGGCAGAGTGTTCTGCTGATTCCCACCCTGGATAACAAGACTTAATGACTAAGGACTCTTCCACACAGGAGCACTAAAGTAACCAATACTCTACCCCAAGCTGAGTTTGCACAAACATCAAGCAAAAGAGTTTACTAGTCTGTGTGTCAGCGATGGACAGGTTGACAGTGTATACAGCAACTTCCTTCTGTCTGCCATCTTGTCACATCAACTTTCAGACAAGTAAGGCTGTTCTTTTCTAATACCACAAACTGGGAGAGGAACAGATAACAAACTTCTTTCATAGAACATTTATCAGGAGGGGGAAAAAGGGGGGGGTGGATGGATGATGGGCTGACATGAAGGGAGTTGGTTTGGCTTGAGATAATTGGGAAGAAAGTGGTGGGTGGGTGGTGAGTGAAATGGGTTCAAGCCCATGCTGGTGGCTGAAGATTTGTTTGTTCCAGAGGAGCCTGGAATAAGACTTGACGTGCTCCTAGATAGGGTCCTCAACAGGCCACTAAAGAAGATAGTTTATGGCATGGGATTTGTCTTCTTGGCACAGATGGCCTCAGGGGAGAGTGAAGAAACAAGACCAAATCCTGTCAGACCAAGAGAATGCCAACCAGTATAATTGTCCACTTATCTCCAAGTTAGGAATGGAAAGGAAAGTAGGAAAACCTTTCACTAACAGCCACAAGCTTAAGCTAACTATGTTAGACAAACATTTCACTTAGACTTACTGGCACAAGCAGCAATAAATTGCTTCTGAATTCTGTTCCTTATTGTTGGGGCAGAGATGAGAGGAGGGTTTGGGGGCAAATAAATTATGCTTGGTTAACTGTTTTAATAGAATACTGCATAAATTGTTTTAAATGCCTGAAAAGTAAGAAACTTGTCTATCACTATTAATAAACGGGGAAAATCTCAAGTGTTCTGTTGTATGGATTATTTCCTGAGAATCCAAAACCCTCATGACATGTAGAGTTAATATTTTGTTTAAATATATGAACTCAGGTGTAGGGTTAGGGAGATGCAGTTCCATCTCCCAGCCAGCTGTGTCCATCAATCAGTAGAACTCAGTCACAAATAAGTCAGCTGCCCATCCTGGCCTTCTCAGCCCTCCAAGAAAAGAATTGGGCTATTGAGCAGCTGGAGAATTACAGAAATTAAAACAACAATTCTAGTAGCTACTGAACATGTCTTCCTAGCATTGCTTGCTTATGGAGGTCAGCTAAACCCTTTAGTATCCCATTCAAGCTGTTTGCAAAAACTTCTGCAGTGTTTGCAACCAGTAATAATTGCAAAGGAGAAAAATTACATTTGAAAAACATTCACACATAATACTCCGAACAATGCTATTTGGAGCTTCTCTGCCTGGCGTAGATGATAGAGGAGGGATCTGGGATCTCCCACTGTCCACAATTCCAGGGCTTGCAAGTCCTGGCTGTGTGTCTTCAATGCCACGGATGTGTCTTTTATTACTTCAGAGTGTTCCTCTAGCCTCCCTTTCTGGGTTAACTTATGACCCCTGTGGGGTTTGTGGCTAGGAACAGATAACTCCTTTCTTATAGAAGTGAATATGTGTAGCTCAGGGTTGAACTGTGGAGCCCTTGGTGCTCTCTGAGCTTGGTTGTTTGCCTGCAGATGTTTCAGTACCCAACTAGGTAACATCATCAGTGCCATGAGCGTGGGGTTTGTCCCTGTTTATATACAGTAGCTTGCCCTGCCAGTGTTAATGGGGCTGTGGTTTTCTCCTTGGTAGTTCCTTGTTTTCTGTTTGATTGTTTGTCTGATGTTAATCCCTGCTCATCTGGGTGTTGGTTGCTGGAGAGGATGTGTTCTGGCCTTTTTATTTCCTTCTTGTCTCTTTTGAATGGTGTGTAAATGTGGTTTATCTCTATGTGTCTATTGATG